CGTGACTGGGCTCTGACGTGTGTGCTGGTGAATACGCTTTTTTGTTCCATTAACTTTTTTTATTTTAACCACTTTTATATATCTTTTTAATATACTCCGTATTATCTAAATCTTTTCTTTCCTTGCATCTTATCAAGCTAAAAAGAGCCTGAAATTGTCTTCTGCATCATTGTTTGTCTTTAAAGAACCGCACTTTTTCATTGAAAAAATATTGATTTCCGCGTTTTTATTTTATAGAATTAACTGGGTTTTATTTTTGGGTATTTTTTTCGCTGTTTTCGTTATTTTAATTGCCGCCCATATGTTTTTTGCACACACGGAGTGTAATCGTTTATACGGCAATTTTAGGTCGCAACAGCCACCGCAACTCGCCTGTTATGCCGCGCCGCCGTGATGACGACAATACTAATAATAATGGCGATGATAAACCACCTTTATCGTTCTGGCATGCCTGCTAAAGGAAGTATTCCGTTTCTAGGGTGGTGGTATCATCATTCTCTCGAAATGTCATAACCCGTAACTGAATATAATTTATTATTGAGAGTTATGCCTCGTAATCCCGCTAACCCGGATGAAAGAACGCAATATCCGGGGAAACGCAACAATGTTATATTACGTAGCTGTATCGTTACAGCTGTGTCATTAGATGGGCATTATTTTCTATACAAATAGTTCCGAAAGTGGGTCGAGTTTCGCGTTACGAATGCATCTGTTTGCCGCGGCACCGATTAACAAGCATCGAAACACAATGACGTCGCACATATATCATTGAGGAAGAAAATTTAGTACAAATTTAGTACAGTCAAATGTATAAAATTTAACATTTCACTGCAAATCCGATCGTAATGGTCGCGTCCGTTGACCAAAAATAATGAATGATTAAATCCACTTTGAGTTATTAATACGCAAATATTGGCATTGAAAAAAGCAGATCGACGAGAGATCAATTAAAGCGTTAAGCAAACACCGATATGAATAATGTGGATTTAATTTTGCCGCTAAAAAACACCTCATCGTTATTTCACAAAATAGCGGCGATAATGTCACTTGATGCATGACAGCTCAGGTCGATAAGTTCGCGCCAGCGAAGCGAGCACTCAGCTCGTTATCCAAGACACAAATGCGCCGCTACTTATCGTCTTATCGCATAAGTAAATTTCCAACGGCGACACTCGCTCTCGCTCCCCCTCCCCGTAGTCGACAAAGTACTTCGCACTCTTGTCGCGTGTCGTTAGCCTCGTCCATTATTCGGTTACTCCGCACTTCCGCGATAAGTGAAATTCGCCGGAGTTATGTCAACTATCCGCATTATGGATTTCAACCCAATAGACGAAGAATACGGCAAATTCGCTTGCAAAACTCGCCGTCAGTCCTTACTTTTGTACAGTGTTGTTTTACATATAATTTCGGAGTTTCAAGCACGAGAGCGTATGAGAAGCCTATCGGTTTTCTATTTTATAATTTTCCCCCAAATAGAAATTTAACACTCATACACTTCGTTCAAAGACGCGAATCGCGATGAGTACTTTCGGGAAATCCGATTCTCCTCGATTCTCATTGAATTTCCTCATTTTGTCAAACGACGCCTCGCGTTAGCTTTACTCGCGCGCCCCGTCGAAAATCGTTCGCGAGGTAAGTGCGAGATAAGCAGAAAAACAATTCCCGCTTTCCCGGACGCTCCCCGCGAACTTTTCCAACTACATCCTCTTCGTTCGAACGTCGGGCCGTCGACGCCGATTGCCGGCTCTCAATTTCCGGTTCTAAGCAGGCAGCCTTCGACGAGGCGGACGCGATCGCCTTTCAACCGTCTGAGAAGCACTTAAAGCGCTGCGAATAGCGCCTGCGGGAGTGATAAAGAACAGCGAGCACCGTCTCGCGACCCATGGATATCGATACTCGCGCTTCTCTACGACGAGCCACTGCTCGACGACAGCTACTTCTGAACGCAGGAGTATGGAGAGTTATGAGTCAACCGCGCACTCGACACGTACACGAGCACACTTCGTTATAGCTCAGTCGTTGTTAAACCGCACGTGCCAATTATAACGCACTTGTGAATAAGTGCGTCTTAGTGCTGAGATTTTTTTTCCGGCTCTACGCTCTTTTTTGCCAAGCTTGATAATTCCGAAATAAGATTAAGGACTCGGAACGGAAGTAGATTTAATCCATAATTTGTGAAGCGCGGAGATTTCGGCAAGAATTTTAAACTACTGATTCTAAAGTAGTCTTTGCATATTACAGATTTAATCGATTTCCGAAGCCGCTAAATGCAGAATACACTGTTATCGTTAACGAACGGACGAAACCAATCGATGCGCCTCATTTTCGAGACCGGAAATTGCGGAAGATACCTCTTGCTATCGTCGTAACACGTATTTTTCCGTCGAGAAAGTCGCAATCTGCGCAATAAACTTGCAGCTCAATAAAGCTTATCGCTCCAAGGTAAAAAACGCAGTAAGCCGCTATCGCGCAGTTAATCTCGTCGCGTTTCGCCACTGGGTATATCCATCTTCACGCAACCGCGTAGAAAAAAAGCGATAAAAATGGCTACTTGTCTCACGAAATACGTCGCGAATTTTTCCTCTGCAAAGACCGACGTTTCGTCTCGGTTTAACGCCGTCTGCTTCTGCCATTTAGCATTTTTTCGCCGCTCTCTTCGCTCTCTTTCTTTCTCTCCTTTTTTTTTGCCTTTTCTCTACTGCACTTGCATCCCCGAATTAAATATTCAAAAGAAAAAAAATGAAGACAATTCTTTCGCCACAGGGGCAAAGTTATCCCGTAAATTTCATTTGGAGAGCCATTTAGAGGTGTCCGTGAGCAAATGAGTACTTAAAAATTATGTTTCTGAAGAGATATGTTGGCTGAGATAAATGAGAGGTAAAAATAGATCCGTCACAACGCGAGTCATTTTGATTTCTTTAACGACCATTAATTAAACACTATTGAGGCTAGTGAAAAGCTAGTAGCATAACTTTTAAGCGCGCCAAGAAGATATAATTTCTGTACAATATAACAGAAAATGCATACTATGTTAATTTTATGTCCCATTGAATTATTACGATATTCTTGGCTGAAACCAATGCATGTTGACAAGATTATTGTCAGATAGAGTGCTTAGGGAGCGAACCCGCTCTTGGGAAATGTACATGCATTTTTCATTCAAGACGAGCTCATCAGGCCACGTTAAATTGTTTCTATGCGCTGACTATGAAGATTTTCGATGAGCAGTACGCCGAGTCCCGCGAGAACAGAATTAGCAGGATGAACATTGATCGATGCCGATGATCGCGCTCTATTCGCGTATCCCGCGGCGAAATAATCGCGCGAAACAATTTCGACTCGCTCTTCGAAAATTGCCATAATTACATATACGCGAATAAACACAGTTTCGCGAGTTTAGCATTATTAGCGCGGCTGCCATTCGCGCTCATCCGCTCGATTCTCGGCTGATGTAAATTCAGGGCGCGTTCATCCGTGCCCATTATTTCGCTATAATGATTTATGACGTCTACGTATAATCGCACTTTGGCTGGAATGATCAGAATCTGGAATTTATTTCTTTTTCCCCCGAAAATATCCATCCACCACGCTTATCGCGTATCGCAGCCGGAATCGATGACTGCGCGATGACTGCAACGCACGGCGAAGTCCCTCGTTATTTCGAAATTGTTGAGCGGCAAATTTTTTCGTAAATTCTTTATTCGAACGTCGAGTGACTCTATTAATACAAATCCCGGAATCTGATTTGCAAGAATTCGCACATTTAATCAGTGTCAAATTTCAGACATGCCAGAAGTCTTCATTTAATGCACATAAGTGAACACGATTCCTCTTTGAAAGATAACATTGCCACACAAAGTGATGCCACAAGGCGTATTCCACGTTCCGCGTGCACGTCTACATACGTCGGGCACAAAGCAGGAAATACTGACCGATTCTAACGCAAATGCGAGCTCAAAGGGACGAGCGGAGAATAAAAGGATACCAGCGGCCGGAAAGAAGCGTATCGGACAATCAACGTTTCCATTCTCACGTTATTCGGCGGTCGCGTCAGAAAAGTTCAATAGCGAGTATCGGGCAATGCGGAATTCTTGATCCGCAAAGGGAGTTTAATAACTGCGGAAGGAAGGGTGGCGGATATGAGAAGGAGCGAGAAGGAGAAAGAGAGAGAAGGGGTGAGGGAGAGAGAGAGAGAGAGCGAACCGAGTTGGAGGGTTTAATATGTACGACGTCCTCGGGGCGTTATAATCGTTGAGTATCGATCATCTCGCGCATATGACGTAGTCCGCTTCGAGGGACTCGCGTTTGACCAATCAGGGCCTGCTGAAGGACCATAACTGCGTACTTGTCGTTCCTGATCGTTCTGCAACTCCGCTTTGTGCAAAGCACATTGTACCAACCACTCGATGGCGAAGATCAAAATATTCCGAATCCGAGCGTGGTGATTTTTTCCGAAAATTAAGGATTTTTAAACCAGAGTTTCAAGTATTTTTAAATTCGCTCTGCTGCGCGATACTATTTTGAAAAAAAATGTAGAATATTGCGACACGTTTCTTGCGTTTTGGTATCATATGCGATCGTTCGCGTTTTTCCACTCTCGTTACAGAGCGAGCTTTCTCTCGTGGACACGCGAACGTCATATTTCATTCTTCGTATAAAAATTTCGAATCGTACGGCGTTTGTTATTTTTGCGTGACTCGCGGCGCGCTGAAAATTGTGCAAAGCAATATTGACAGATGAAACGTTCGCCGTAATTCTCACTCAATAACTGGCACAGATTTATTGGCCATGTGCGAGCGACGCGTTGCACGCATGTATCATTACGCCGATAAAATATTCGTCGTTCCGGTCGCGTTTCACAGGAGAAAAGACCGCAAATTGCACGACGTCATTAATCATTACGCCGCTTTCTGTCGTACGTTCATCGGCGCCGGCAACGATATCCCACTGGCCGTTTTCACATTCGATTTAACGACTCCTTCCGTTTGCTTGTTTTTCAGAAATACGTCAGCGAAGGATCGACGGTGCGGGACTGCGTACCCGATTGCACAGAAAAAGGTGAGTACGCTGCGACAATTTTCACCACAAGAGACATATTCTGCGATACGTAAAAAAAAACGTGCGTTTACGTTGCAATTTATTTTCGCGAAACCGTTCGGCTCCTCGCCGCGATATCTGCGATACTAAATCCATGTCCGCTCGTAAATTCTTTGGTACCAACCGGTCGCCGATGGCCAGCTGGTCCCGGCGCCCAACAGCGATATAATTTACAAGGGATAAAACGGCGGACCCTAAAAAATTTGTGAAACCGCGTGTTATCGGTTGCTTCGGGCCGGCGTTTGTTATCTGAAAGGCCGCGGAGTGAAACGCCGACGTCGGGACGGGCGTCGAGACGGGACGCGATCGAGTATCTCCCTCTCTCTCTTTCGAAAGCCGCGTCATCGATTTCGGATTTCGCCGTGCGATGTGTACCCGCATCGCACTCTCTTCCTACATCCGCTCCATACGTCGCGCTCGAGAGAGGATACAAGAGAGGATACGAAGCTCGCGCGTTTGAAGGTCCCATAGCGAACGGCGGTACGGCGTGTTATCGGGTCTCGCGTCGTTTTATTGTTTCGTTCTGTGGATGAAGGCCTCATGCTTCTTCTTTCCTCGGCTCCTCGTATTTCTCCGCCACTTGTCCTTCGACAGCGTCTGTATATCCACTTCTCTTCCTTCTCTCGGCTTTTTTCTCATATCTCGAAACGGAAGTCACGATTAATCTCTGTCCGATGACACGCCTTGCTGTTTTTCCTTTACGGACCTCTTTTTATTTGTCTATATATTAAAACTTCTCGCAGCCAAATTCTCAGTTTATGATTCTCTTATGGAATTATTACTTTTCAGAGCTTGCTATTAGTTCATTCCGATTGAAGCTATTTCATAATTACGAACGCATCGATTGAAACAAACAATTTAAATATAATTTGCACGTGAAAAACATCGCTGATGATTGCATCGGCTGTTTTAGAGGCTTGGAGCACGAAAACGTATTGCTGTCAGCAGGATGGCTGCAATTCCGGCCCGTCGTTGACAGCGTCGAACAGCGCGTATTTCGTCCTGGCGATCTCGCTGGCGGTCCTCATGGTGTGCCGAAGCCTTCGTGGCTAATACGTCGTCTTGCAGGACGGGGGATCCGCGCCACGAGCGTCACACGAAGCCGCATAGGTCCTTCAATCACAAAAACTTGCACGGTTGGGGGAGGAAACGTAGCACCTTGTATTTCAGACGTTTGCGCCGAACGATCGAGGCTTCCTACGAGCGAGTGTCGCGGAAACGTCGATAGTCGTCCCTTGCTCCTTCCGATCCTTTCAACGAAAAGCTGAGTTAAATCCTTATCATTTGTAACTATTAAACACACTCTCGTACTATTGATGCTTCAAGTGTGCTTTCCACTTTCTGATGTCGTCTGAGAGTTACTTCGACGGCTAAAATTTAATTGAAGTTTACATGCCAGTCAGTAAATGCACATCGACGCATAATGACACTTGAAAAAAATTTGTTGACTCGATCGCTTGTTCATTAGAAGTCGCATTAATATGCATTGTTCACCTGTTGCTTTTGTCAACCGTCAAATTGATATCCGCCTTGTTATTAGTAAACGCCGCGATTTGTAAATTTCCGTAAGTTGATATTTTGTAATTTTATTCATCACTCGTTTACATAGTCACTCGAGAATGTTATTTAATTATCCGTTCTTCAAATGCCTCGGTGCTTGCCACATATTTTTTCAATACTTCTTTTCTCCAGTGTGTTTTTCTTTTACGCCAAGTTAAAATACTGAAAAGATAAGTTCTAAGCGTCCTATTTCTCAAGAAATCAATTTCGCACACAGTTTCACGAGTGTAAGAATGGTCGGTAATTTATAAACAACGCGTAAAGGACGAGTAGTGCAAGAGAAATCGTAATTATTTTCAAATACAATGCTCTCGAGTTAATGAGATGCTGTCTACAACCGATTTGCACCGGCTTTCTATTTCGCGCGATGGTATCCACGTCGCACAATCACAGCCGTGTCAATCCAGCGAGCCGAGAACATACTTGCTGAATTCGGTTGCGTTAAGCGACACGGAGGAAACGCCTCGTTAAATCCGATGCGTTGTCGCGCCGACTTTCCTCGTTCTATTAAATTCCGCATACTGTCGCACATCGGCTGTCTTCAATAGAAAAGTTACGTCGATCGAGTTTGATTGAAATTTCGTTTCGCGAGCTTTTTTACAGATTAAAATTTCACGACGGGACAGACGATACTCGACGTTCGCACACGTCGCACCGAATCGTTGCTATCAATAATCCCTGGACAATTTTTTTTATTTTACTTTAGATGCGATATCGATTTTTTAATTAAACTGGGACGCGTATACATTTGGCTTTAGAAAAAAAATACTTTGTCCAGTTCTTCAGAAATTCCGAAGATAAATTCCGCACGCAATTCGTCGCGAATAAAATAGTTCGAACAATAGCGGCGATATTTAACACTCGTGCAACACGCGATCCGAGAACGGCAAAAAGCTCAAAAATAGTCGCCACCATCATCACGTTTTGCGCTTATCCGCTTTCATGGTAGCTTTCGTGCGACTTTGCAGACGTGGGTTTGCGCAAGATTTCCCTCACGCGATGTGCGGTCTGTTTTTTACCGTTGTTCCACCAGATTGTGATTTTTCTGCGCCAGAATACTTTATCCGATCTATTCTCCGCGAAACATCGAACTCTCGGATTAAAGATCAATAATTCCCCCATTGAATTGATCTCTTTCAGAATCTTGACTCCGATAAGGAAAAAAAATGGAGAAAAAAGTAGTTTTTTTTTATTTTCACGAAGAAATTTACTTTGCATAAAAGTATGAAAAAATGTGGATAAAAGGAGGCATGGAAAACACGCGGCACTATATACGTTGTTCTCCACATCGTACATTTTTTCTCCGAGTTTTCGCCGGTTAGCCTTCTGTCGAGGAACGGCATTCTGTCAGCCTTCAACGGCGGATTGAATTTATTCAAAAAGTTTTGGCGTCCCATTTTTCGTCGGGCGTTTTATCGACGCTTCTTCCGCCGCTTCTTCCGTCCACTTCGGCATCGTACATGCGAATTTAATAACATCGGGACGGCTAGCGGGTTGTCGCGCCGAAAAAGCGACGATCGAAGGGGGCACGCGGGCCGATATATCAATATTTTGGTTGAACGTCGCGCGATGTATTCGAGTGTTGTGAATATTTCAGCGCGTCACGCGATTTTCATCACAAGACACGTTTTCCTAAGTTACACCATGCAATGACGCTTCGCAATTTTTCATTATTAACGCATTAAAACTCATGTGATTTTTTTGACACACTTCTCGCGAAATTGCATTGACGTAAATATGATGGCCCATTTTTAAAAATTTAATACGCTTGAAACGTCTTCATCTAAATAAAAAATGATCTTATAGACGGAAAAAATGTCATGAATATTAAACAACCTTTAAAATGTGATGTTCACAATTCGGTTAACTCTTGATACATTTTTTAGAATATTTAAAATTTTTAAAGAACAAATGTAAAAAAGACGTGCAAGAAAAGCCGAGACAACTAAAATTCTTGGTGCGTTTTAATGGATTATTGATGTCCAAAGGCGTCAAGATGCCAATATTGTTCGCAAACATTGCTTTTTCATAGGCATCTTTTTAAAACAGTTAATCCTTGATGATCCTTTTTCACGCTGCGGCGGTGTTATCGATTGTATCGTGTATCTATATAAAGCTCCGCTTTTTCTATTATAAAGGGAAAATTCTATGATGATAGAAAGAGTTTGACCTTCCATGACCCATTTTTTTTGCATTACCCTTGCAAAGCCGATTATAGTTCAAAAGATAAGCTTTGTTATATCAGAAAGAGAAAGCACGCAATAAGGTAGAAAAGAAATTTTTGTCTTATATCCGTCAAATTTTATCAATTTATGTACATAGAAGAATATTTCTCGAACGTACAAGAAAAAGGCATTGAAAAAATATTAAAAATAAATTATTAACAATCTAAAGTGCTGGATGTATTATTTACGGCAAAACAAGCATTAAATTCCAACTTGAGATTTCCGATATATATTTCCTTAAGTCCTTTCCCTTGTACCAAATCCCTTGTGTGTGTGTGTGTGTGTATTCAACCATTTTCTTGAAAACAGAATATACAATAGATTGGAAGAATAATACAGTTGAATAAAATATCCCAATAAAAATTTGATCACGAGTCAATTTGATGACAATACGGTATCCTGACATATCCTGTTTCTTTGGGACGACTTGAGATGGTTCGGCCGCTCATCGATTCGCGACGAATGAGAGCATCGACGGCTTAAGCGGAAGAAAACTACAGCGACGTTCTCCGCGCGAAAAAGCCAGTATCGATACATTTGGACCACAATCGTTGTCAACGACACGCGTTACCAAAGCCCGTAACACTAAGGCAGCCGGCATCGGAATCGGCGGCAGCAACAACGCGAACGAAAATGTTGCTTTTGTCGCTCGACACCTCCTAGCCGTAAGATGCACACAAAGAGAAATGAGGAGGAGAAGAAAAGAAGAGGAGTAAATAAAATAAATAAAACGTGGATAACCTACATACAGATAACGTTTAACAGAGGAACAGTGAGGCTAACACAATAATGATGTTATTATTAATACTATTACTACTATTACTATTACTACTATTGCTACTAATTACCATTATTATTATAAACTACTGTGCATCTCACACGAGTATACATATAGTAGTTATCGATCGATTAGACAAATGCGAGCAAGTGAAGTTGTCGATTATTATGTAACCGCTTTAAGTAGCCTTATAAATTGTAATTAAAGCGCGGATAATCTACGTCTATACCGGGTGGCGCGAAAGGACACCAGGTGTCTTCGTTATATCTTGATTTTGGCGAAAACCTTTCATTTCCTTCGTTAAAGATCTCTCGATTCATTTTCAAATAGAATTTTGGATAGTATCTAATAGTGCGGAAATTAAATCAATTTATCGGAAATCTGAAAATTCGCAGAATGTAGAGATCTACAATGGATGATTTCTAAATTTTTCTACTTTTTTTCATTGAAATTAATGCGACAAATATTTTAATCGTTAACGATATCTGAAATGTTATGTCGACATCGTCCAATTCCTCTCGCGTTACTCGGTACACACATCAGCGTATTGGATCACGAGCAGGTAGACAAGAAACTAAAAAAAATTCCTAAAAAGTAGCGATATTCATCTTAGTGGGTAAGCAACGCGGGCGATCACGAGTAGCGAATAATCTGTTGACTGTTCGCAGGAGGAAGCGTTTAGCGACAGCACCCCGGCAACGCGAATGTCCGAGAGACGTCGTAAAGACGTCCGGAGCAGAGATAGGCGGAAACAATTATCCGACTAACAAGCGTCTCGCGATTGTAAAACGAGTAACGAGAAACGAATAATCATTGTTCGTCGCGCAAACGAATATTAAATATTTTTATTCGCACATATAATGAATAATGAATAATCTTACTCGCTATTCGATCGAGCACCTCCGTATATTCGGAATACGGCCGACTCTCAGCTCCCGTCTTTCAGAGACGCGTTTCCGGACTCTCGCGTCGCTCGGGGACGAACTAACTATCTGTTCTCGCATTTTAGGGTCAGACGATTTATCTAAAGTTAGCGTGAATTTAGGATAATTTGTTAAAGCTAATCTATTTCCCGTCTCGGATGTCGGCCGATCTAAAACGTCGATTGTTATTGTTGGAGGGTGTGCTTCGAGGTAATCGTCGGCGACTGCAGCTCGGAATTAATCGTTGACGGAGCACCGGCTCGCATCGACTTAGTATAATTAGCGCAGGATCGATAATCACCTCCCTTTCCCCCCTATGACGATTAATACTCCGATCGCAAAATCGCGCGAACCACGCGCGATTATATATATATATAAACGCCTCCGCGGGGATTAAATTAAGAACGCGTCGCTGGATTTCATCAGGAAATGCTTCAAGTCGTTCGATTCAATTCATTAGCTGCTGATCGGGGATCTATTTGTCGATTCGGGTTAACGTCGATACATCTTGCTTAAGCCTCGTCTCTATATACTTTTGTAAACTAAAGCACAACAGTGTCAAGATCGATTACTATCACCGGCGGTTTGCTATCACCCGCGGATTACCTTTCAACGATCGCTCCTGTGACGTTCTTAAAGCTCCGAAATATTTTATTATATTATTATATATTATATATATTATATATTATATATAATTATTATATGTTATATATTATTATTATATTTTTGCTTGTTGAAATTCTTTACAACAATCAATATATTATCTTGTTACAATTGTACGCAAATTTAATCTGCACGAAAACTGATTCGTTAATTATCATTTATAATTAATTGAAAACTCTCGAAACGAGAGCCCGTTTCACGGAGGAAATATTTTGACAGATAAAAATAAATTCTTGAAAAAATGTCAGAATATTTTTTGTTCCTGAAACCGATTCAGGAATTTTAGAGAATACCTCGAATCATCTCGCTCCAAAAAAAAAACTCTATAGAAATAAAGAAACGAAAAATTACGGAAAAAAAGCTATACAGAACGCGCTGACAGGACGCACAGACACCACTCGACGTTCACACCGTAACGATTCATAGGCGATTTCTTAGCACTTAAGGTTTTACTATATCGTGAAGAGAAACGCTCGATAATAAATTTTCATCGTTGCGAGTTCTATCAGCTTCTGTCGGCAATAAGATCGTGCAAAAATATATCGCTCTCGGATCACTCGGCCCTCAACTGACGATTTTTCGATGAGAGATAAATACTTTCGCAGTAGGTTTTACTCACATTGCCGAATATATCCGATAATTTAAGCTGATGCCGAGTCAATAAAGTATCACTACAATATTCATTTATTTCAGAATAAATGGAAGAATTTTGCCAATTTGAGCACGCTAAGAATATCGAAGAGGCACGAATGATAGAAATGCATATTATATAATGTAACGTTATAATTATCAAGCCGAGTGATCTGCGCGATATAATTATATTAGAGTTATATATATATATATATATATATATATATATATATATAAATATAATATATAAACATACATATGTTATATATTATATGATATTATATTATATGAAAAAAATACGTCATAATATTACATTATATTATATAACATTATATTATTTAGTTATACATAAGCAGAATTATATGTATGACGAGTTGTACATTTATATTAGACACACACAGACGCAATAATAAATACTATACTCCGAATACGCGCGATTCGATGCTCTTTTCCTCAAATGATAATAGGATATCGCGGAATGGCAAATATACGGAATTGCAAATATGAATTACCCCCGGAATAATTAATAAGGATAATTAATTTGATGCTCGTTCGACGAATACTTATTCACGTCGATCAATTTTCATACGGCGATCGAGAGGCGGGCAACGCATTTTCATGTGACTTTCCTTTCTCGATACGTATAACACGTATTACCATGCGCCGCGACGTATTTCGCCATTCCACGGGCGACGATTATTTACGATCGACGCCGTGTTATATTTTCCAAGCGCGGCAAAGTGTTCGACGAAAGCACGACGTCGCTCAAGAATGATTGATCGTCTATTCGTGAAACGGACGCGATTTATCTGCCGGGGTTTTTAAACGATTACGGCTTTCCTACCGTAGCTACGCACGCCGGTAGTCAAGTAGCGAGGAGATTGCAATTCTCCGCGACGAAAGACGACGGAATATGTGCGCACGGCGCTCACGCGTCATTTTCACTTTTGTGCACGTTACGTTAGTTACAAATCGCTTTCTCCTATTTTTTTATATCTACTATTTTCGACACCTTCTGTCATATTAAAAATGATTTTTTCCCCTTGTATTCAAGATATGATAATTACAATAATTATAAAGGATTCCCGAGTTGCTGAAAATCGTCTAATTTTTCCAGCGAATCTGCGAACACGAAATATCTCTTTCAGCGAAAGCCCGGCCCGACCTACGACAATCACTTTCACTAAATCAAAGTAGTGTTACGTTATTTATTTTAGAATTTGTACGCTCTGTTGTCATGAATGATTTCACAGAGCGTACCGATTCTTTAATAAGTGCCGTCAACAATTGTCAACGAGGAATCTTCTGCTTGGGTAAGTTCTCGTGCGTGATAAAGAGAGTCCGACACCGTTGATAAATAAAAGCGCGACGAAAGACGAGGGGACGTAGCGCTCATTTGCGCAACGGCTTCTCACTTGATTATTTTAATTAAAGATAAATAGAAAATGGTTTGAAGGAAAATTTCTGCCGAAGAATTCAGCTCATTATCGGGTAACGTTCTCATAGATTGCAAGGATCAACTTCTCCCATTCTGTTCGCGTACGAATGCATCCCGTGCCGCATTCTGCCGCAAGCTAGATTTGTCATCGCCACCCTCATCAAGTGGTCTATGCTAGCTTACTGCGTATCTCCCCATTACGCCGCGGCGACTTAACCGAGATTAATCGACGTCTTAGTCAAACACACTTTAGCCCTGACGCCAAGAATTACTCGAGGGAATAAGCCATTCGCCGTATTACCACGTCAATCGCAACCTCTTTGGCTTCCCCCGAGGAATTAATCATTTCCTCGAAGGGTGTTTGCGAAAGTTTGACCTGGGTCAATTTCCGGAATCAGAAAATAGAGGATTGTAAATATTACAGAGCAATTATGTGGCTCGGCATGTTACAACAATTATGCGATACGCCACCGCTTCGTTTACTCTCGCCAATCAATTAATTACGTAAACTATGATTGCGCGCCTGATGATTAAAATTTCCGCTATATATATGCTAATCTCGGAATTCTCTTCCGATGTAATGTTATCGTCATTCAGTTACGGAACTCGTTAAAAATTGTTTCTGTACACCAGAAAAGTATGAGCAAATCTCCTTTCGGCCGTCATCGCTGTATACTCATTAAAAACTTGCTTTTGCCGTCGTCGTAGATCAAATGCAAATTCGTTAATTAAAAACTTCGCGAGGTAAAAAATGTCATTTTTTGGTTACTCGTGATTTTCTCTCTCTTTCTCAGTGTCGGCTCGTGAAAACGTACTTAAAGTAAGCGCTTTCCTCGGTCGGCATGCATACTAAGTGCGTCCTAAAGATTACATTTAAATTGGAAATTTCGGCGAACGATCGTTTAAGTGCATGCAAAGCTGCGTCCTTTTCGTATCAATTTCGTAATGCACGTATTAACAAGTCAAGTGTTATAAAACATTAAAATCTTTTTCTCCACATGACGCTAAGCCTAGAAAATAAGAAAATCTGCGCACAAATCATTTGGTGTGGAAAAATTCTATTATAAGTTTAAATCTCAAATTTTTGCTCAATACAATACACCGTATTGCATGTAACACTTTTCTCTTTTTCAAGTTCATAAAGTTTCAGAACTAGATTTATACTACTTTGACGAGTGTTTCATATATTAATAACAATACGGTGTTCTAAATGTGCACTCCATTTTTCAGCTATGAGATTGCTAAAACGATTCTACAAAAGCGTCTATCAAAATTTTGAAATTTCGATAAAATGTGCGGATAAGAAGGTATATTAAAAATGTAGCACACAGCGATGTAACGCTTGCGGATCAAAGGCAACTTCATGTCGTTAGCTAAGGCTGTGTTGCGATGGAAATATTATGCATGAATATCGAGTAAGAAGTTTCATCTCGATAAACTCCTCTACCATGAAAATAATAATTATTTATGAGGATGAATTATCTATCTTTTCTTTCTTCCTTTCTGTACAAAATGTGTATCAATAATGAATAAAGTCAAGCCGCGAGGTGTGAAAGAAAATCAATTCAAAGAAACTAATGTATGATTTCTGTGTCATTTCTAAAATTTACTACAATTTCTATTAAAATTAAAATTTATAATAAACTGCAAATACTACTTTAGCACTAATCAAAATCTTGTATCACATGTCTGTTCGCAAAAATAGTTCCATTAAACGGCAAGTTCGAACTGGAAAGTGTAGAATGTCGAAGGTGACGGATCGCCTTTCAGCGTGGAAAGAATGAGATTCCCTCAGGACCGCCAAGTTAATTACGTTCTTTACGGGATGTCCATCCTATCGAAGGAATCATCGCACAACGGCGACACGTTAGCTGATCTCGAAGGTGACAACTGACGTTCAATAAATATGCTAATATTTCCGCTATGCCGGCGGAAATTGTGTGTCCTTCCGTGGCATCCTGCCCAATCCGAGTGAAACGATCCTTGATCCTAAACCGCGAAAATTTATTGCGTTTGAGAATCCTGCGAGTCGGACTGTCGACACTTGAGAAAAGTCGAAAGATTCTTGTTCCCGTTTTCTCAATTGCAATTTATTATACAATTTTTTTTTAGCAAAAGAAAAACTCGATATTCTTCTCTTTAAAAATATTTCGTTTGCCGCGTAATTAAATACGCGCGTTTTTGCAGAATCAGCGGGATAGAATAATTAAAGGATTCCTAATACTCTCACGTGTTCCTACGCTCCTCGCTCGCCACGTATGAATTGCAACGGCACAACTGGAGGTCGTTAGCTAAAATAACTACGGCGTGGTATCTGTATACCACATATCTGTATTCCACGTGTAGCCGCAATGTAACAGCGAACAAAGCAAAATTATGGCGAAGACTGCGAGGGGAGCAGCGGGAACACGAGAAGTCTCCGGCATGATACCACAAAATGATATATTACGTTGTAAACAATTCTACTTCGGTTTCGATCGTTGGCGTGTTTATTCCGGGCGTAAGTTTCGTCGAAGTCTTTTCTTTCAAAGTGAACCAGCTACGCTGATGGAAATTCGCGCCGCTCATGCAAAAATAAATTGCTAAAAAGTCTCGTAAATGTTTTGGAACAATATCCAAGAATCAGCTTTGAGTATCCAAAGTGTGAAACAAGAAAAAAATTGTACCTACATCGAGGCCTGATGTTTCACATCGCGCGCGTCGCCGGTAACTGTCAAAATGCTGACGGAGAGGAAAAAAACGTGTGCTTTCGTACAACGGGTGGCCTTTCAGCACTGTGAGCGTGATTTTTTTCACGCCGGCGACAGCCCTTTTTGCACGTGTCTCTCGGGCGTGATCAGAAACGAAGAAAAAAAGGATTAATTAATCTCATGGCGTACGCGGTGTTTGAAAAACTCGTCGGACCGATGTGCGCTGTCGATTAATAATTACGAAGAACGCGGAATAATTCATGACATCCATATTCAACGCCGGATAAAATTAGTTTACCGCGCCGCAACTTCGTTGTTGTCGTCTCTCGATGGGCAATTAATTAATGATAATCGCTTCCTGTTAAATGATCAATGCCGTTGACAAGCGACGCGAATTGTTCGCATTTTAATGTTGCGGGGAAGGTCAAAAGCGTCAAAATTGGATATTTCGTCGCTGTCGAGCAGATTTTGTCGCCCGAAATGTCGCCGTTTGCTTAAAATTCTTGTCGGTGACCCGTGTCGCAAGAATGTGCCACGATAAAACTATCGGATTCTCATTTAGCCCCGATCTTTCAATTGCGCTGTTACAAGAAACGTGCGACTGCCGGCGCCGGCGGAACGATCTGTGTAAATTTCAGATTCTATCGAAGACTTCAACCATTAGGGCATGTCACGCGTAAAAGTAATGACGGTGATGCACGTGAGCCCCGGTCATCAAGTGCAACGACACGCTGCGACGATAAAAGAATGCCGCACGCGATGACTAAAATAAAGCTTTATTAATGGCACGATGTATGCAGCCGTGAGCCTACATTGATAAATCGATTGATTTTATAATCTATTTAGCGACATTTATAATACATCCATAATACAACGCTATATTCAAAGTCAATCTCCGTTCAATATCTTCCATCAATTAAACGAATAATATTGCGAGTAATAATTAAAAAAAAAAAAAGTAAGAAAGTTAGAAATTTTCTTAAATACTTTATACGCGTGCAAGGCGAGGCGTATAAAGATGTGTATTTTTCTAAACAGTCTCTCCAGTTTTGAAAAGCTCCGGACTCGCCGGAAGGTAATTCGATCAATCTTTTATATTCCCGACCCACGTAATCCGACGTGTCCTCACGCTCACCCACACGTATTTCACACCTCCGTGCTGTCGCGTTGCGGTGCTATTATACGTCGAGATCGTGCCCCAGTGGCGCGTGTGCATTTCCTGCAGCGCGTTCCGCAGCATATCGCGACTCCTTTATTACTTTACGTACCGGTGCCACGTGCATCCGCTCTGCCCGCAACTGCACCCTCGAGGCCGCCGGGGGATGTGTGCGCGCGCGCGCGCGCGTTTATGTACTCACCCTTGGTGCCGCCTCCCACGGTGTACGTTCACCTTGGCATCCGCAGAATGGACGCTTCGCCTCCGGTGCTCGATCCGGGAATTCCAGACGGTCCGTTCGACAGCGAGAGACGTCGGTCCTTCCGCTACAGTAATTATTCCTCGGACGATATATGACGCGCGCCCCGACAACGGCTGTTTCCACCGTGAAATTGCGCCGTTGTTATTTCGATTTGTCGTCGTTGCATTCCCGCGTCTGGCGGGAATATCTGTCGCTACGGGGAACGCCGGGTGGGGTAGGTAAGTAATCTTAGAAGGATGAAATCTACACAATGCTGTCCACACTGTCGCACTGTCGCGCAACGCTATAATCATAAATGAAGTACGACTCGATAGTATCAAATGCAAAAGTTTCTTATACTTCATGTCGAAAAGACATGGGTTATAAAATCGAAAAGAACCAAGTTCAGATTAAAAGAATAAAGATAAAGAGGTAAGAATTTGAATAATTTAAGATAGTTGATAGTCGTATAACTTTGTTCGGCATCCAGTCATACGTGTGCAAAGATGTGGAAAAATGCGCATCTTCGATAGTTTCGAGCAAAATAGAGTTTCCGCACATCGCATTACTCTGAAACAACCGTTGTAACTAGGCATCACGCGGGTCACTGAGGAAATCCCTAATTCGGACTAGATCGACGTCGACCAGAGCCAGTTATGAATGTCAATGCAATTGTTGACGGCGATGGTAGATCGATGGTGGTTGACGCACGGAGGTATGCGACGCGGATTAAACTCGCATCGAACTCAACGCGACGGCATTACGAGTGTGGCTATTGCCGTAAACACGCGAATAGCAAACCGATCGTAGATTGGTATCGGCACGCCGGCGATGTGCGCTTTAATCTTACAATCAGAGTTGGTGCAGCGGATATCGCAATATTGGCAATATCTACATTAATTCTGGATTAAGCAGAATGCCTTTTTCAACGACCTATGTAAAAGGTTATTCGTGTGAATAATTCGAATTTTTATCGTAACAAAAAAATAAATAGTATACTCGCGCTTTTGGTGAAATAAAATTGTTTTAATGCACTGGTACGACTTCTAGAGCTTTCGTCCGTAGGTGTTTCAATCGGCTTATTGAATGAAGCTCACAATATGTCGAAAAATTATACAAAAAACCATACGATTTCTGCATACCGAATGAATTTACAATGTAAAAAGCCGCGTTGCGTTTTATACCGGACGGTTAATTGAGCCGCTTTGTCGCGCGGTGAAACGTCCGCAGGGAAGCCCATTCGGCCGCGCCGCTTTGCGGGCACAAACTTCTTCCGTGGCCGCGACAGATTGGCGCTGCCCGAGGGACAAGCGGGATGATTATCCTTTACAGAGCGGATTCGCGTTATTAGATTAAAGCGGAGCGGCCGCGAGTGTCATTAATGTCGCCAATTAGCGCGGCCCCTCGGCCGTCTTTTTGCGCGCACCGCAGTATTTTATGCAACCCCTCGGGATCTTTATCCGCCGTGGCAAAACAACGCGGAGCGTTGTTTTACGCGAAAATATGTCGCGCGCGGTGGCTTTATTATTCCGGGAGTATATTCGGGCCCAAAGGCGCGCCGGGCTTTTCTAAATTTGCGTATAATATCCCACGTGAGGGGAGGAAATCACGTTTGCGAGACGGCCGGGGACACAGTTCCGTGAATCGGCAAGGTGCATGAAATTTTTATTACACGCTACACGGAAGAAACGCTCGCAATTTTCTTACCGAGCGTACCGCTGCTCTCTTTATTCTATTATAATAGAAAATTTTATTTAAGCCGAAATAACGATCCTCGATAAATTCAATATATACAAAACAAATACAAATAAGCTTAGCCGAGCGTCGCGCGTTTTTTCCCCGAACTCAGTCCCGCATTCCGCGCGCATACCTGACCTCGTATCACAGTTTTCGCCTTGCTTCACACCGGCACATTGTAACGAAGCCGTGCTCTTCTTCCACGAGTGCCATTAGCGTCGTTAGTTAACGCAATTATTCGCGCTCTTCCCCCGCGCTACCGATCTCTTCACACTCCAGAATTATTATTTAACGCACAAAACAGCGCTCCGCGAATATATTCCACGATAAAAATACGGGGTAGTTTGCAGTTCGCGAGATCTTTAGTATTCCGAGCGACAAAAAGTTTTCCGCATTAGCAGACGCCGCACGGAATTCGACTGTGACTGAATATCGTTAATTAACGCTGCTATTCGCGAGGCTTTTCGGGTGAGCGCAGCGATCGCTGGCGAATTGTTAAACATATTGTCGAAACAAATTAAATGCACCTACCTGTAAATGATCACCCTTGGCAACCTTGTTATTCGATCCAAATGAGCAATTAAATCGAATTATTACATCCTACTGTTATCACTCAATATATCAGAGCAATTGTTAGACAAGTCATATACAGTTTGGCATATAAATTGATCCTCATTAATAAATTAACTCCCATTTCTGGTAGAATGCTAACCTTTAAATCATACGCAATTGATATTCCAATTGCACAAATAAAGACAATTAAATTTTGTTATTATCTACTGAATGTAAAAAAAAATTGTATTATTATTACCTCGATATATTATTAATCAGCGAAAACCAATAATTGCAGCGAATAAGCTTGTCCATCACTGTTTCGTCGGATATATCTTCGAGTCTCTTAGAGGATATTTCCACCAAACATCGTAACTATGTAATGGTCCATTTAGAACGCCAGACGACTAATTATAGGCGACATAATAGCGGACAGCGACGTTTCTGTAAACTGGCAAACGATTTCGTCGTTATTTCGAGGCTATTCACGACCTTTTCACGAGCTCTCCATTGTTGAGCTCTCGGCGAGCAAACATTCGACATACTAATTCTCTTATTCCTATAATGTTCGCAATTCCATTTGAATAATACACAATTTTCCTTTATCAAAAAAAAATGCAAAGAATCTGTTTGCAAAATATTTATCAAAATATTTAAGATGCTGCTAATTCTACACTGACAGGCATCTGAAAAAGATAAAATAATAAAACATTATTTTACAGAAGCATTTGAGCTCTCCTTGAATCAATCAACACATTCCTTCTGTCACGAAACACTTTTATTTTCAATTTTTACAATGATTTCTAGCATACTTTCCCATCTTTTTCGAAATCGCGAAGATTTCAAGCGAGAGGCGAAAGGCGAGGCAACGGCACGCGACGTGCGCGACGATCGATGTGGATTCATGACGAGAGTTTGGTGCGCGGGAGAGTAATATCCGGTTATAAAGTAAAAGCTACTCGACTTGGGATGGATGGATGGATAGATAGATCAGGACGAGGAGAGTTTGCCGAGTATGGACACGCGCGCCAGGCGTGATTATCGGAGCTACGTAGGCACGACAAATGGCAATTCCGACGCGTGCGACACGCGTACGGGCAATGTCGAGACGAGATGCGAACGTAGCTGGTCGTATGTCGGGCGCAAGTAATAATTTAAACACCCGGGACGTGTATGCGTACGAACATGTGTTGATGCTGCGAAAAACGTGGAACGCGCGCTTAACCGCTTTTCGTAATACCGTCAAAACACGATTGCCTCCAGTATTTACACTTTATTCGGTAACTTTCTACTCCGTCACGACTCACTACTCGAGCTGTTGGACGGAATAGTGGTGTGAAAAGCGAGCGAAAATAAACGTTTAACACGCACCAATTCTCGCGCGCGATTATTCTCTGGCGGGACGTCAGATTTTCAATTCTTGCCTCGACGGAGAGAGCGCTGCGAGAAAAAAAGTAGATTTTTTTTTATCAGATAAAATATTTATTTAAACAAAACAGTATTATCGGATAAATTATTTTGTAATATTAGATCACTGTTCCGTTCAACGGCTCACTCGAAATACATCCGAGATATTTAAAATCCTCGTACATATATTAATTATATATATATACACACGATTTACACCTCGTCGCGAGAAAGTAAAATTCAAAAGAGCGATGTTACGCGCGCTGAAAGTGTATTTTCGTGCACAGGTCGTGAAGATGGGTGATCCTCGAGATTGAAAACTGGTGAAAGAGAAATGTTATCTTACTGTATTCACCTCTCCCGGCACAATAATCCTATTTTTTAATTGCTATAAAAGACATTGTTCACTATACAAGACTGGCAGCGATTTCTCTGTGTTCTTCCTTCCCCCATTTTCCCCGCTGTCGTCGATTCACTCCGTCTCTCTCTCTCTCTCTCTCTTTCTCTCTCTCTCGCTCTCTCTGTTCCCCTCTGTCACCCCCGCCCCGTTCTTCTACGGATGCCCCCGGTCTCGAAGTTCGGGACAGTCTTCTGTGTTCTGCCCGTTCTACTTCTGCTGGAACAATTCGGACAATATCGAAAGGAACGTGAAGCGATGTTCATGGATCTGCTACCGCTTTCAGTAAACACTCTTATACATCAAAAACTTATCGGCAACCATCGGATGTTTTCTCACATGCGGATTGATGATACGATAAAAAATAGTAACGTCAAAAAAATTATACGGAATACGGTCAGTAAATTAATATAACAAGCAAATAAATTATAAAATATTTCCATGAAAATTATGTTTAGCTAATATTTAGCTGAAAGAAAAAACACTACAATTTATCGCGATGGCACTGTGTATAATATAACGAATAAATTTCTCGGCAATAAATAATCTCGTTCATGCTGCAACTACTATCAGACTCGCTATGCAAAGCCCATTTGTAGAAATGTATTGTTTAATAAGCGGGCTGGATATTGTCTACATCGTTGTCTGGATCGCGGAAGCTATTAATTACCGGAAACGTACATTTCTCAACGCCGCTGCGCGCCCTCATAGTCGTGAGGGCATATCTAATCGCGCTGCTTGTTTAAAGGGTTATAACTTAGAGCACTGACCTTGGGCGGATCTCCAGCGCCGAGATACGCGAGACCAGTCGCACCTGCGTACGCCAGTAGGGCGTCGATCGCCTGCTGCGTCTCCAGCAGGATCCTAGTCTCGTTCATCCAGTCGCTGGCGATGCTTCTGGGCGCGCCCTTCAGCAGATTCATGTATCTTAGGGTCATCTTAAAGTCGCCACGATCCAGCCAATATCTGAAACAAACGAGTAAGAGCAAAGTGCCGTGACAATTAGCAGTGGATTTCAGGTCAGGCGGCTTCATATGATTTGATTAATTTAGCGCACATTAATATTATAATAAACGCAAATATATTTGTTATTGATATAAGTAATATTGAAATTAATATTGATAAAATATGAAAATTGTATATATATTGTATGCAACAATGGGCATAATATCTAAGCAGATTTATATTCGTTAATTTCACTATTTAATCGAGTGTTTGACAAACAACAACTGTCCGCAATCTGCAATTTGCGGGAAGCAATCAGCATGGAAGATTTGTTGGCCGATTTCTCTATGGTTATTCACGAGTATCGAGCTGCTGGCCACTTCATTTCGGAGTTTCAAGACAGACGAAAACGTACTCTCCTCTCCTCCCTTCCCGTCCTCTCACTTTCGGAGAGACCGCGCGATAGTTCAGCAAAAGGCACGCGCGGTGGAATAGTTGGCGACATCCGGTACAGCCGGAAGTCGCGCTATCGGATGTGACTTTCCAAGAGGAAACGCCGTCCTGCGGACTGCAGCATTCGTTAAAAACTTCGCTCCTGAACTCGCGAGCGCTCGGACCAACCCGGAGCCTCGGAGCCTCGGAGTCCCGTTCATTCGGGAAACGGGTGTGTTTATTCATCGGCTTAGGATTAAGTCGGCGATATCCAGCGGCTGTCGCCTTTCTCGCGGAAACGCGAAACCTTCAAGTGGAAAACCGCATGCAGGATAACGCCAACTGAAAACTTTACACCGAGAGAACACCGAAAGTACACTGAATCGCTCGCCCCGATGCAGTAAAGTGAGATTAATGTTGTATCCCGGCTTACAGGTGGACTACGAAGGAAGAAAAAGAACGCCGGTATCTGCGACGCGAGAGAATTTCCAAACTAACGAACACGGTGCAATTAAAAATTATCCTCCCTTTAAGTGATTTTTTTTATGTTGCCATTACGAATATTACCATTTCCGTAATGCAATGCGATTTATTCTTGTACAGTTAAGCTAGGATTATATTGAAAACGAAGAATAACACAGCAGCGATTTATGAAAGCTGGGAACCAGCTACGGACAATTAATTACGACTTAAAACTAATTATCCAAATCTTGTCACATTGCAAGCTAAATACGCGTTTCAACATTTTTTCAATTTGTTGATTTGAGACCACTGCCAATTAACCGCTCATGCCAACAAACGTCCGATCGCGCAGCGGCTCGCCGCCGAGATACCGGCCACTGCATCTGTAGCTTTTAAAGAAAATACGAGGATCAAGGAATGGTGGACAATACGTCCGCCGGAAACTGCGCCGCCTGCCTTCTCATTACGACAAATCCTACGGAACGGCTACGTGAAATGGAACGTGAAGCGGTGCGGAACGTTTATCTGGCCCGTCCTGAAAATCAACCCTGCTCAACGTAGTCCACGTGGCCTAATTCGAAGCACGGACGCGCACTCGCGGATCCCGAAGTTTCTTGTTTCGGATTTCATATTCGACGATATCGCTCCGCGGGAACTTTCTCACTTAGCCTTCACCTCGCGTCGGGACGAACGATTTTTCAGATCCACTGACAATAAGAGAATCATTCGATTCTCGCACGTGTTCCAGCGATAGATCGCGAATATCTCGATGGTGATACAGATTTTCCGAAATAATTTTAAGTAAACTATTACACAAAACAAAAATTGTTCTTATTTATCTGTTAATTCTTTGATATATTTAAAGTTTATTTTTCCCTGGAAAAAATTTCAAGTATTAAACATTTTAATTGTCTAAATGATTAAGAATTTAAAGACTTCTAAGAATTTAAGAAGACTTTAGCACAGTTTTAAATAAATTTCGAACAAACATTTCAATTTTTAATTTTTAATCAACATTTCTCAACTGTTGTTTTAATTAACAACTTAATTATTAAAAATATCGTTGCAGACACAGTGTCGTTCTAGAAATCTATAATCTCGCCCTAATTCATCGACTAGGTAGAGGAATTGATTTTTGGTTGCCCAAGGGACGGCATTATTAACCGAAGAGTTTCTCGGCGCCTGCAACTTCGATTTCGCTTTAAGTTTCTCAGTGTTATAAAAGAAAGTTCTCTTATTGAATATATCCTCTAAAATAAAATAATATTGCAGAACTTAAAGTTTTCTTCGATAATGGATGGCTTCAGCTTTGAAATAAATGTTACAAATCAGCTCGATGCTTGATATTTACCAATTCAATAACAACTGAATTCAACTCTGATTTGGCAGAAGCTAAAACAGAAACAGATATTGTGTTCGTCAATCATTGCAGGAATGAAAGAAATTCGAGAACAACATTTGACGAAGTTTGAAGTAATGGAAACGAATTTTTTTTTTTGTGTATCTAACCTTTATAGATATATGATATCTTTTAGAAATAAAATAAATACGCTACGGGCAGTTTATACAACTAAACATAACATTGCTGTAAAAAAAAATGTAAGATTTTAAAATTCTAAACTATTAAATTTTATAGTATAATATTTTACTGCCTAAAATTGAATAAAATATGTACATTTTAACATTCTCGACTATTTCTTCCTTTAAAAATGATTTCAATGCATCAGAATAAAAAAATGTTCTAGATCTATCAAGTATTATGATATAAGATTTTAAAACATAAAAATGAATAAAATATACACACACACATTTTATGCTTTATAATATCTTATATCATATCATTTGACGGGCATAGAACTTCACTGCGATGCATTGAAATCTTACATTTTAAAGAAAGAAGAGGTGAAAATGCGCACACACGCGCACAACTAAAATAAATAATACAAATGGCACTGTATTCATAACGCTATGATGACGACTGAAAGTTGAATTTTAGAGTGCATCCATTTGGACGATTAAGTATTCATTTGCAGAGGCCGAGACAATGGCTGGTCCGAGAAATCTTTCAGGGGTGTATCCCGGTGATATATCGACTGTGCGCCGCGGTTTCTCGAGAACCCGGCAGTTTACCCGCGAGCGTTGAAAGAGTGTGTGCATACCGCAGTGCGCCTTGAAATTAAAAATTCAGAAGGCTCACGTCCGAGTCCGCGCCGCGGTCTACATGCTCGCTGTTCACGGACGGTGTCGCGCGAACCGCCTGAGTACGTCGTACATATCGTCGATTCTAAAACCCACAGCATAGAATGAAGACGGCGTAACTTATTACGATTCACCTGAGGCCTACGCGCGGAGGCCTGCTCCATTAATAAAATATACATCGGATAGCCTGTAATACTTATTCATGTGACTCACAATATCGGCAGTTCGTTTTGCATGTGATCTCGCGTTGGAAACAAATTGATGTGGAAAGAAACAAATTATTCTGACAGAATTATTCCAGTATTCATCAGAACACTGCTCACGCTTTTCACGAGCGATAAGGAAAAAATATGACATCGGTAATTGCATCACGGAATAATTTTGTTAAAAGAAAACGCACGTACTGTTATAAGTTCTGCGCAATTAGAAAATTATGTCAAAATGTTATTCAAAAATATTCCGATTTAATATACTAATTAAATCGTGAAATTAAATATTTAATTTAAAAAACACGATCGTGCGCGAGTTGATTTTAGAAAAAATGTGACCTTTCTTCTACAAAATTGTATTTTGCGTATTGATGGTAAACTTTGACATTTCGCGCAAACGCCCTTTCTCTCTATTTTTGCAACCTATCCGCGAAATATTCTAAATAATATATTTTTAATTTGGAAGCGTTGTCACTAAAAGAGTATCAACGCGCGGTGGATAGCTAAAAGACGGCAAAAGAGAGCGTAAATTCGTACGTGTCGTGAATGTCGATGCGAAGTGTACTTTCTTTTGTGGTCAACACTTGATATCTTGCGAAAACAAGCGCGAGAGACGCTTTTAAGTATGTAAAACTATCTTTCACGATGTAAGAAACTGGCCGGCCCTCCTGGCAATACCCGATTACTCCCTCGGTATTCTGCGCCACCGCATCTACGTTGTTTTTCTTTTTTTTACGACCCTCCGCCTCCTCGTGGTGTTTCCCACACATCCGCGGCTTCTCGCAGCGGTTAAAGTGAGATCGAGCATAAATTTTTCGTGCGAACGAAAACACACGTCGTCGTTTTCACAGATTTTTGAACGTGAGCTCGCGCGAGAACTCTCGCTACGTGCCAAAACTGTTTTCTCAACTGCGCAAGATATTCTATCGTCAGAGTGAAACTTTGATGATGAATTCTTCCATGAATTTAAAACTGGTCATGCTTTCGTCTCACGTTTGGTATAAATATTTAACATTCTAAACTCTAATGAAAAATGCAGCTGCAATGTTATTACGAGCTGCGTATTTTCCTCTAAAGAAAATTTTTTAAATTGTAAAGCTACGCGTCATACGTGATATACATATGCTTATCTTTATTTATTTTCCACGATAAGTCGAGAATACCTTCAACAAGGGCTGGCAGCCGAAGAGACCGCTGACACGAGAAAAACGAAGGGATAAGTCGGTAAAATGGCTCGCCACCGGATTTCGTCGGGGATAACCTGACGAGTAGTAAATGATAGTGTTCTTTGTCAAAGTGTACGTGGCGGATATTACGGCAGATGTTTTCGTCTTTCCCGCCTCGTTGACGGTCGGCTGGATATATCGCGTTCTCTTCAGTCCTCAGGGTCTCGTAAGGATAATTTATAGGGTCACCGAATGAAGAAGGAGAGACGGAGGGCCTCGCGTGACGCAAAAATTGCTGCTCGAATTGCGAGTACAATAAAAGTGCATTTAATCGGCGATAAACCCTGTCGAGCATCGACGATTTTGTATCTTTGTTATTTATTTCTGGATTTTTCGCTTCAAAAATTTCACGACGATCGATATACCATCGATAAAATTTATTTAAAAAAACCCTGTAATCGAATATATCTGTGATTTTTAATACAAAACAAATATTTGCGAAATATCTATAAAGCAAATTTTGCATTGTGCTCGTTTACAATCAACGTCAATCCGGCACATCGAATTTTCTCGTGCACGATAAATTCACTCCATCTCTAAAATTAATCGCACACATGCATGCATGCACCAGAGTCATGTGGCGAGCCTTTTACAATTTATAAAAAGTCTTACCTGGCACGCTGGAGTATATCGTACGTATTCAGCGAGTCTATGTCGATTGGTTCATCTTCGAGCTCGCTCTTCGGAATTGGATTGGCCGTTTTGATGATCAAGAAACTTTGAAGATAGCTAAGAAGATATATAGGCAGAGCTGCACCCTCCGCAGGCACCATGGCTAACCTTCTCGCCACATTCTCCACCTGGCAACACGTAATAGACGAACGAACTTTCAGAAATTGAAACTTTTATTTACATACGAAAGAATTCCGCCAATTCACGCCACTAACGCATCAATTTTTTAGTATAATTTTGTTGAATAAAGAAAATGAACACAAAGAATATATGTGCGCAAAAGAATCAAATATATTACTACATTTGATATTAGGTGAAAAAAATATATAATTATTTTAATGTGATAAATTAAAAGAGAATAAAAATAAAACAATTATTAATTGCCGTTACATCTCTTATGTGTCTTCACATATCCACACATCAGTCATTTGTCGTTTAATTTTAAAAATCCCTACAATTTTCGCGTAAAAGGAGAAACTTTGAAAGATGATATCGCGAGTGGAATTTATCATACTGTAAAGTTGCAGCGCGAAACCGTCTACCCGTTTATTCAAATCGCGTATTACTATTGCGACTAGTAATTTCGAGAGCGACGAGGTCGTTTTGCAAAAGTAGGACAACTGAATACGTGAAAGCGACATGATTTTACGGAATACGGGAAACGCAGTAATTACCTTAAGGAACCTCTCGCGAAGGGCATCCTCCGGGAACACTCCTCTCTTGGCCGCCTCCTCGGGAATGCCCTGAATAGCGGCATGCACCAGGGGATCCTCCTTCGCTGAAATCAAAGGAAGCGGAAAAGTGGATCAAGCGCAATCGACACACCGATTTCTCCGCGTCTCTGTGCCATTCGTCCGAATTGACGATTTTTAACCCATTTATTCGCTCGGTCGAAATTTCGCGAGCCCCGGCAGACAGAATTAATCAGAATGTATACGTGTATTATTCGCAATACCCGAATTTCCGTTACAGTTCAATTTGCTTTGCGGCAAACTGCACCCGCAATGTTTCCCATTACATTTTTTCTTCATTCAACGAATTGTTTACCGCACGTAAAATGTGGGCGATTGCGGGGGAATATTTCAGGCTGCGGCTCGCATTTGGTTATCGCGAATAACATGTACGCGCTAATAAGTTTACTGCAGTGAGACCCGTTATTATGCATCGAATAATCATTCGTTTACACCGATGCTTTAAACAATTATCCCTTCGTTCACTGCAGAGAAGAGAAGTCGCATTAAATGGCTCGTGAGAAATTTGAGATGGCAAAGCATTTGACAAAAAAAATTATTCATTTACACGACAAGATGATATCCTCTAATTACCGCAGATAAAATCTCGATTTTCTACGCAAGTTCTCCGTTGCACAAGTGCCGATCGTAAAGTTCGGGAAAAATTGAAATGACGAAAATGATTTCTCGGCGGGAGAAATGAAAACGGCGAAAAGTTCGAGAGTGCTCGACAAAAAATTTATAGACACTTCGCGCAATTAAGCGCGAACATTTGCGGTAGGGGCATAATTAATGAACACGAACGCGGCACTCCATCAGAGCGACACGAGCTCTTTGAAATGCCCACCATAAAGCCTTTTATGAACGTTCGCTTCCGATTAAGTCGTAAATCTTCGATGGGTCTTTCTCTCTCCGCCGTCGTCGAGCCTTGCTCTTCTCTATCCGCCCGGTCCTGGCCCGCATACACGCATGCCGATTTGAAGCAGAGACCCCGACGTCGTTCTCTATTGTTCCAGCCTTTCATACTCGCGGCTCGGAACGAAGGCGGTTCCCGCAGGAACGAGCGCGAATTGCTAAAACGCGACAGCGGCCGACCGAGCGATTAAAACGCGTGCAGAATTCATTCTCGGGTGAAAGAAAAGCCCGTGGTAGAAATAATGCTCTCGTCGTAAATCCATAACAGCGGTTCGAATTATATTGAATTGAATTATACCGCAGCTGGGAAAAAACATTAATGCTGAAAAGATTGACATCATAAGTTTAATATTGTTTATATATCAAGTCGACGATTAAGGATCATAAACGAGATGTAAAGAGTGTTCTTATGATAAAAACGTGGAAAAATACTGGATATGAAAATATGATATTAAATGAAATATGAAACTTCGATTTTTACGCCCGAATGTTATTTCTGCACAGTGAAGTATCTGCTATTAAAAACGTTGTATTTAAACGTTTGCATTCTATTACATCGGAAAAATAAAAACGAGAATGTTCTTTCTAGTGATATATTTTTTAATCAAGATGCGAAATTTGTGTGCAAATGTAAAATAAAGATGTGTAAATAAACATTAAGCTGAAATTTCAAAAAATTACTCAACCGTTGCAAAAATAGTCATAGATTTTTGTTATTCTAAATACCGTGCTTCGCAAATATATTCGCATTAAATGTTTCTGGAGTAATAAAATAACATAATGTACGAAATTCTAGGCAATGCGCTGCAGATTTAATTAACCCAGTCTGTTGTTAAATTGCAAGTAAATGCTGCTAAATTCTGTTCGCGAAAAACACGTGCGATAATAACGACATATACGGCAGCAAGTAATAATAATTACGAGCGGCTGCAGTGCAGCCGAAATGCAGTGACTTCAGCTATAACTATACTATAAAGTCCGCGATGCACTCCGTTCTCCAAGTTTCTCGCATTACTTTAGAAGTTATTCGCCATATTTTGTATCGTGCGCAAGCCGCAGTCTGCCAGACGAAATTACTCTAAAAGTCCATCGTGCTATTTCGTTGTTTGAAAAGCTTTGTGCACGCCAGAGTAACATGTTACGAAATTCAAAATTAATGTAACAAAAAATATTAAAAATAAAATTCGCGACACATAACAAAATGTTAATTAAAATGATATTTTCTGTGATAAAGTGCAATATCACTGACGTTGTGTTTAATATATCCGTACCAAAATTAATCAAGATACATGAAATTTAATCAAGATGCATACGTGCTGCCTTGCAAACGGCCTTGATCTCAGGCTCCAGCGGTCTGATTGCCTTATCCTTAGGTGCTCCCGGTGGTGCCACTTTCACCGCTCTAGCCAATGCTTGACAGGCCGACCAGAGGATCTGCGCATTAGACGCACCCTTCTCCTCCTCCATGCGGGCTGAAAGAAAAACATTTCGTCTAAATTGAACGAATGTTCAACTTCCCCTCCACTCGACTCTGAGAAAAAAAGTCCCTAGCTATTAAAAATTTAAATAATCTTGTTAATAGTTCAAGAAAAGAAAGTTAATACGATGTTGATACAACCTAAAAATCACACTCTTTTCCCTTCATTAACATAATTTTGCATTTTTGCGATCATAAATTACCGAAAGAGATAGCTACGAAGATTTACATTCGAAGGTTATGGCGCGCTAGAAACTTTATTAGCCTAAAAAATGTCAAATGAACGTAGAATTTAACAATTTATGCGACGTGTGCCCGTCGTTTATTAATACATAAAATGTAACATGTAGCAACGTGCACATCGCTATTAATCACACCGTCGTGGAAATTTTATTCCGCCAGTATCTACCGCAAAATCGCCAAAAAGGGGGAAACCGCAATTGTCAGGAAAGATCGATTGGTAAAATTCGTTTGTCTAATTTAATTTGCGTCGGCATATCCATTGAGGTTCCTCGATCATTCGGGGAAGCCTCAGGGGTACTGCCATCGTGTTGCAGGCGACGTGACAAACATTTCGCGCATTTTCGTGACGCGGCCAAATTTTTCGATAACAAAGCGCTCCGTGCGAAAATCCCGACGCGCCGATATGTACGTGAATTATGAAAGCTTGTCGAGTTGTACGCTCGTGCTCGTACTGAAACGCTGCGCGAGATGATCCCGAGTTAGGAAACAAAGATGAAACTTCACTGCAAATTGTGTAATTCGCGCGATTTATTTACCAAAATAGTAAAATGTTGCGACACGCACACGCAGGTAGAATTTATTAATATATTTATATTCAGCGTCGCGTGATATGTTTTACAAACGCACTCCGCACGAATTTACGGAAACAACTGACAATAGCAGAAGAGACACACCGTCGTACTCTAATAAACATACTTGAATGTCGACACGATCGTATTAAACGTATATTCAACGAGTGTATACGCTGTGTTTATAAATATACAATTTGAATACACACATCGCGGAAGGCGGGTAAATTAAAGTGCGACGGAGATCGCACTTCCGATTTCGCATGTTTACTCCGCCGTGACTAATTGAATAATCATTTAACAAATTACCATCGGAGATAATTGAAATTTAATCGGCGGCTCGATGAGCGCCCGTCGGTCGGCCGCGACGGAATTCACAATTGATGGACTGTAGATCGTTCGGGAAAGATGCTCGGCGCGGCCGTTAACGTCGCCGAGGCGAGGAACGGGATCCATCTGAGTCTAGGAGCTTCCAACTCGTGATTTATTACGCGTATCAATCCAGATGGGTTTACGGAGTGATCTTGTCTAGAGAAAATTACTCCGCTGGTCTAGAGATTTTCCGTGCGGCTTTTCCCGCAATAACTTGTTTCCCTGAATCACAGACGGCCCCGCGTTTCCATTTAACGTAACGACGCCTGTACACGTGCGAAATCGTGAGAGATTTGAGTCGCCCAGCTTTGATTCACACGTGGCGTTTGTAGTTACGTTCAAATGAATTTAACGCTGGACGCTCGTGACGCAATTTCCGTACTTGACCTTTAATTTAAATCCCATTATTATCACCCATCAGAATTACGAGAGCAATTAAAGTCAATCCACGCTCGAGCTCTCGAGAACACAAAAGCAAATTACAGTCCCATAATAAGTGCAATATCATTCTTCATAACGACAATCACTTTGAAAGCGGGAACGTTTCGAGGACACGCGCGCACGTGATTAATCTTTCGCAAGAGGGTGTGCTTTCCCCGCAATTTTATCACCTCGGCGAGTTACGAGGCGCACTTTTGTCGTCCAAATATCATTATCATGCTTTCCGCGAAATGTCCATAATTACGTTCAGCTGAAAAAAAGAAAAGACCTTGGCGCGGACTTGGTCAGCAAGCCGATTATCTATCCTAAACGGTTAGCTCACTCGCTCGAATAATCGTATCTCGCGGCAATATCATTTCTCGGCAATAACTCGACTCGCGCGCGCTCCTTCGCAATTAAAATTAATCCTTCGCGCGCGTTTTATCGCACCTCGGAAAGACCCGGGCGGACCGTATTATCAATTTCGCCGCATAAGCAAACTCCAGTTTCGAGCCACGGGGCGAATTACCGAGTCCGTCGTGTTATTTCGACTTTATTGCTCACTTCGCCCCGCCGCTTTATTGGCGGCACATTACACATGAACCGCGCTTGTCTGTCGCCTTTTCGTCCGCGCGCGAGCGAATCGAGCGCGATAGGTAATTTTGCTGTTTCGCGAACACTCGAATGGAAGTTGTGCAGCAACGTAATTCGATAGTTTCGGTCCACGGCAAAATTTCGATCGCGTAATAAGACCAGCTTCTAAGCACCCGCCGCGTTCTGAAAAGCAATTATTTGGAAACATCCGCGCAGTTATTAAGCCCGCAATTTTATATCCAGTTGCTGGGTCCGCAGTCGTCCGGTTTTTATCGACAATACCATCGGACCCGCTGTAATGCAACGCGACGAGTTGTTTGCGCTCAATGTCATTCTACTTTTATTGGATTGTGTGTCGAAATAGCTCAAAAAAGAATTATTGACAGAAAAAAATTATTTTAACAAATTAATATTATAGGAAAATAAAGAATTCAAGAGCCAACAACTAGATATTAGTGTCAAAATTGCAAATTATTGGCAATTTTAACGAGCATTTTCCTCAACAAAGATAATTAATAATATTAAAATAATAACTAACGTAATAAGTGTTTGAATATAAAAAGAAATTACACCGAGAAATAAAAAGTAACTTCGAATTTATCTCTATTTTCTTTAACAGCTATATCGAGATTATATCGAGACCGTATATTAAGAACGTTGGTGTGCGCGTATACTTGGCTTAAATTCCATTTACAACATCTACCACATCACATACATAATCGATCGGTTAACTTCAGTCGATTAAAATGCAAATGTAAGAATTATAAAGTCAAATAATTGAAACAAGGCGATATTTTAGAGGCTATTGATTTTTCAGCACCACTCGCATTTCCCGCGGAACGGCCGACATAAATTAACGTCTACAGTCGCGTTTCTTATTTTCACGCCACATCAAATTCCGAGTTGCTTTAACAGCATCGAGTCCGCCGACAGCTTTAAACGCCAGTAAAGCCGAAATGACAGGGCCGATTGCCCGCGCGACATATATCTGTCCCAGTCTGTTCCCCTTTCTCTCTTGTGTACGATTTTTCCTCCGTTTTTATATCCACGCGCGACGGACCTTGCGCGGGTGGTTCTCACGCTCGGTTTGGCCGTGAGCATCGACGCGGAAAACGGGAAAGGTCGAAGGGTTCGGGACTGTTTCAAACCGGATTCACTTCATCTCGCGCGTCGATCCTCATCTCCGTCCTCTTTTTACGGTCGAAATCGCGTTATTACGCGGGCAAAGCCGTCCACGGCCAAAGCGTATGTCTCCGCGAAAAAGTTCCCGAGCCCCACCAAATCCGCCGCGTACCCGCGGGAATTATCCGACTTCCGAGCGCGTCCAATTATTCCGGATAATTACTAGTTTATCCGAGCGTACGCGCTGCCGCCGGCGGATCGGTCCTCCGCGTCGCTCGAATGAATAAAGTTCCATTCCGTGCCGTCAGAATTAATTATCTCCGTTGCTGTTCGCGAAGATGACAACTGTCGCGGAAAATTCTTCCGCGCTCGTCGCGAGCGCGTGCACACGTGACAAAGTCAACGTAAGTAGAAAATAGTAGAGTGGCCGAAGCCATTTGGGAGCGCGGCCCACTCTCCGCGTCCCTTCGAGCCCTTTCGTTCAGGAATTGTTGTTACAGTAGCCTAACAAGTAACGGTTGAACTCGATCATCCGTGTTGTAATTTTCAATCTGGCAAATATGGTTAGCGCATATATAGAGACTTCGGTAAACGATTTGTTTGTCTCACGGGACGTATCGATTTTCGTGCCTCGCGTCATCGGCTTCCTCCGCTGTGATTTCCACGTTATCGCGAAAGTGGCACAGAAATATCATATTATATACGTTTATTATCATAAACATTAATTTCCTACGCAATAAATGACATTTATATTAATAACTTAAATTGAATTGTGTATCTAAATGTTTTCTTTGCAAGCTATCCTCAACGCCACGCATTCAGCGATCGTTCCGCGCTTTGTCCCGCACATTTTCCCAACTTTCAATCCAATAATCATCGACACGCTCGCCGTCGACCGTCGCAAAAAAATTCTGTACGTTATCCGATGGCACCGCGCCAGGTCACACATGCCGCCGCTTGTCCTTGTCTCTCTTTCTCTCTCTCTTTCTCTTTCTCCCTTATTCCCGCAAAAGACTTAAATTCCGGCTAATCGATAAGGGAAGAGCTCGAATGCTCGCATTATTGTCGCGAGAATTTGTGGCCGGACAGTACTTATCGGTTCATTTGGACGAGTTTGAAAACGAGCCCTCTCTCATTTTCCCCTCCTTTCCACCGCCCTCTCTCTCTTTCTTTCTCTCTCTCTCTCTCTCTCTCTCTCTCTCTCTCTCTCTCTCTCTCTCTCTCTCTCTCTCTCTCTCTCTCTCTCTCTCTCTCTCTCTCTCTCTCTCTCTCTCTCTCTCTCTCTCTCTCTCTCTCTCTCTCTCTCTCTCTTCCATTTATGAGCCCGAGAGAAACAGTGGTTAAATGAGTCTGGCGGATTAAGCGGCGCCGACCCACGTAACATTTTACGCTCGCGAATTTCAACGGCTGCCGCTGTGCCCTGCTCTCGTTGTCACTCGAGTTGCCCGTTCTCTCCCTCCCTCTCTCTTTGCCGCCCTTTCTATGACCCTGTTTTCCAAACGCTCTCGCATTGACGAGCGTAACGATGCGGTCGACGCACGACAAAAGGGTGGCTTGCACAACCCTCGTCGTCGACACGACAACCGCTTTTCCCTCGACAATGCACGCTGCGCCATGATGCTGCTGCCCCCGCAGTCGCCCACTGACTAAACACACCGTGTAAAACGCGACAAAC